TTGTAGTTATGGCAGCATATTCAATTTGCAAAATTGTATAAACACCGCTGCTGTTCTAGTTTCTATGATAACACAGAGTGTCAAATTGAAATTATTCTTATATAAATGTTTCAGTAACTCATCCACTCTACAGTGGTTATTCGACTATCATCATAAAACAGCCTGCTTCCATCACTGGGCACAACCATCAGCTTGAGGTAACGCAGTAATTCGTCTCATTTTATAATAGTTATCTGATATCTGAATAAAACCTGACATTTTGACATGCTATTGTAATTTAGCTCATTTTCAACAGTTATCATAATATCTTTTTCTACTAGCGTGCGGAAAAGTTCACTTTTCCGCACTCATTTCAGTGTTATTGAGAGTCACTTTTCCGCACTCAGTTTTGGAAGCGGCTAGAACTGCACTTGGATCTTCCATCAAAATCCCGTCACAGGTATGAAAAGGAATATATTTTGTTTGAAAACTGGTACCAGAATAAGGGAATCGATAGTTTCAAAGAAGACGTTTTTTTGGCTTATTTCGCTGAAATTTACAAAACATATCCTAACAACACAGGGATGTCCTAGGTACGCCCCTTTTTTGTCCCGCGGTACAAGGACATGATTGGGACATCCAGGGGATGTCCTGAAGTGGTTGTCCAGTGGACATCCCGCCCGGTACATCCCTAGGTTATCCTATTCGTGTCCCTGGAGTATCTGATATTCATTCACATCAGTCATTGAATTTAATCAAACTATGAGTTGAATTTTTTTGAAAATGTTTGTTTCTCTTCCGGAAAATGATTGTAATGAAAATAAAGAATGAAGTCTCAGAACTTCTTAAGAAATTACCAGTTTTCGCAGACAGAAATCGTACATGCATAATGCCCCTCATTTTTAAACACCCAAGAATGATAATAATTATACCCAATTCCTAATAAAGTTGTATTTATTCAGGTTTCTGTAGTTAAGTCCTGTTTATAAATCTGTTTAGTACATAAATCTTCATTAGGCATGATAGCCAATGGAGCAAGGTGCATGATAAGCCAAAGGTCCCGGGTTCAATCCCTACTCGACCTGCAACTTTATTTTTTGTCGAAAGGATGTCCCTGGGATATCCTTGGGATGTCCTTGGGATATCCTTTCATCGTACTTGGTACATCCCAGAAGGACATCCCTTGGATGCCTTTTTTAGCGGCCAGCGGATGTCCCTGGGACATCCCTAGTATGTACGTTGTCCCGACAAAGGACATCCCTGGGATGTCCTAGTATAAAATCAGGGACGCGTCCATGGGAAGTCCCTAGGATGTACTGGTGTTGTTAGGGATGCAAGCCAAAGACTCTTTGGTCCAGGTAATCAATGTTAAGAAGTGTAATCAATTTTTAAAAAAACTCGATTTGAGCAAGTTTTTTGAAGTCACGGCATATATAAAAAAACAAAACATTGGATTTAGGCCAAAGGCAAAAAATTTCTTGAAAGATTAAATATTCCAGTTGTAGCACGTGCGTAAAGTGACTTCTCCGCACGCGATTGCTGATGGCCGAACGACGAATAAAAGTGTCGCTTTCCACACTTCTTAAGTAAACTACAATTCTTCTCTAGTATATTCATCAAACAGTTTTAATTAGGTTATCTAATCAACCTTCTTCGATGGTATGCATTATGAAACCGTGCTTTGAATTACTGCAATGAAAGTAAATATCCTATATCCACACTTACTACTTGTTGATTGAATGTTTCTGGCTACAAATACTATATTTTGTAGAATATTACATTAATCTGTATAATTGTGACTGAGACAATATTATCAGAGCTCGTCAAAGCTCATTAGGATGTATTTTTCAGAGGATAAAAATAATGAGAATTGATGAACAGATGATATGTAACACAATATTTTTTAATAAAGAGAAATTAACAACGGAAATTTTGTTCATTAGTTATTCGTTGCATATTTTATTACAATAAGCTGCTTATGATCTATATATAAGGCACAGATCCGACCTGTCCTGGAATACTGTTTCCATATTTGGAGTGCAGCACCCAAACATGCACTGAAACTGTTGTATTCTGTCCAAAAAAGTGCAATTCATCTCGTGGGTGATGCCTCGCTCACAAACTCACTCACTTCTCTGGAACACCGTAGAAAATTTGGCGATCTGGCTCTATATATTTTATAGATATTTTCATGGACAATGCTCTTCTGAAATATCAACAATTGTACCTCCCTTGGCAGTCCCCGCGAGATTAACCCGTCGAGTTGAGGCTTCGCACTCCTTATCGTGGTCACTTTGGAGACCTGCAGAACATCTCTTTCCAAAAACTCGTTCATCCAACGAACAGCAAGGCTCTGGAACACATTGCCAAGGGAGGTGTTCCCCGAGGCATATAACCTCCAGAAATTCAAGAAGAACACCAATTCCTACTTCATTTCCCTTGGTTCTCACGATGTTCTCTGAACATTACGACAGTATATCCCTTTTCGTGGGAATCAGAACATAAAAAAAAATCAAATGTATGCCAACTTCGGATTACTTCCCAGAAAACATCAGACTATACCAAGGGGTTAACCAATGAATATAAAGTTATTCAAACAATTCGAGAAGCCATATGTGGTTCAAAATTGCATATCTCAAAACATCCTGTATATGGATCCTGATGAATCCGAAACCATTTCGAGAAAACACATCAGGATTCATGTTTTTTCAGTCAGAAGAAAATTCAAAAAATTATCCTACTAACAGGGCGACCTCTTTTCTAAAATTATCACACTTTCAGATATCATCCTGTAGGTCATGATTCCGAAAAGATGGAGAAACGTGAGAAAATTATGTTACAACCAATTGACTGAGCAATTCGAATCCCAAAAAAAATCAAAAATCGGTTGATCTCATCCAAAGTTATTACGGGGTTCGAAATAAAGATACAAAATATTCGCTTGTCTCACTTCAAATGTGGTGCAGTTTATATTGGTTGGCTTTACATTCATTTGGATATGTTGGGCTAGTATATGGACTTGATTAGACTATTTGCGTTTTGTATTTCGTGTGATGGGTGATTGCCTAATTAGTTGAAATATAGTTATTTATTACACAAGGGGAAAAAGTAGTAGACTTTAGCTCCAGGTTGTACGCGTTGCGGAGGGAGACAAAAAACCGTGAGCTAAAATCTAATATTTTCCCCGTGCATAATACACTATTTTTTTCTGTGACAGAAGAAAGAACGAACAAGAGTCCAACTGTGAACAATATTGAGAAGATATTACATTATTTTGAAATCTGAAAATTATCGACGTGAAATTTCAAGTTTTTAACAGTAGGGACACCATGCGTTGTAGGCATATCTTTATCATTATTTTGCAGTAATATCAAATATCTGATGTCACTTCTGTCAGTCTAATTCTGTGATTTGATTTGAAAAAATTGCGAATTTAGTGGTTGTTTAGTAATATACGTAAACGCGAAGGCGAATGGAAGATATATGAAAGGACTTGCAGTTCTTTCTCAGAGACGGTATTATTGACTCATTTTTCGGAACTATAGCACAACAAAAGCCATCAACAGTGTATATATAAAAGTGATATATATATCCGAGAAAAAAGAACTAACTTTTTTCCCACGGGAAAAGAGTAATTTATGAAAAGTGACATTTTACAACCTGCCAACAGAGATGAAATGCCAAACTTTTTTTCCGTCACAGAAAAAGAGAATAAATGCTCATGCAGTTGACAAAAAATAGATATTTTCACGAAATTTTGGAATGCATCATCAAATTGATTGATTGTCTTTATTACCCCAAGAAACATTATTGTTTATAATATACAACAAAACATATACATATAAAACATAATGAATCGAAACAATAATAATTGCACAATTAAAAAACAAATTATAATAAAATATGAAATGGAAATATTATAATCCATTACAAGTAATCAAATTGTGAATGATTAGTACTATTAGGTAGTAGATATGGAATTAAAGTTTACTAAGCAGATATTTCTTTAATTTCATTTTAAATTTTTCTGCTTCTTCTATATTTTTCAACTCATTAGGTAAGGAGTTGTACAAAATTATATTCCATTATGGAATATTGATTGTTTACCAAAATTTGACTTATAATTATTTGCTATCAATAAATTGAATTGCCTTGTTTCATGGGCGTGAATCGTATTAACTTCATTAAAATTCAAATTCGATATTTTCAATTCCTTCCATTTGTCAGGAATTTCAACACCGCATATGATTTTGAAATGTGCTTTGAAAAAAACCAAAATATTGGAAGTGGCCGCGCCGTTGACACACAATACACACATACTTTGATATTACATACGGTGTCGAAATATCTAACAAATGAAACTCTGACGTACATTATTTCATTGACATCCACTGCCACATTCAATGATACATCTCAATTTTCTTTAATATCTATCTTTCATTTATTTTTTATTTTAACTGATTTTGTTCTAAAATCAGTTCGTTTTTTTCATGTTATATTACCAGGCACTGTTGAAATTTGGAAACATGATGATCAGAGCCTATATAATACTCATACGATTTCATAAGGAATATTATTCGCGTTTTTGTTTTTCAAAATCGGATCGGATAAAAAAAAAGAGAATAATGACTAAAAACGTGATTCAAAAAATGCTTTATTTAAATCTTTGAAATACAAAAATAATAACTATCAAATATAACAGATACAGTAGATTAAATTCATAACCTTTACAACATTAAAAAAGTACTTTGGTTTAAAAACGTATCTATATTCATTGCATGAGAACTGCAGTCCTAATAAAAAAAGCATGGCAACTAAAATAACAATAATTTGTACTTTCAGATATAATGAAAAAAAAACTAATGATTAAACTGCAGAAATCGCAATGACCAATAAATATTGTATACACAAGTAACTGCGAAAAGTATTGAAAAAAGAGGAAAAAATTTAAATGGCTATAAATATATTGAGATGAATTCATGACATAAAAAAGTATATATACATATGCCATCGATGACGTTTCATCTAGAGTAATGTTTATAAATGCACTCTGCGTCCCGGCAGTTACCATCCACATCATATGGACACATTATAGCTAATGGGTCAAACCAATCTTTCCTAGAAAAAAAAAAGATGAATGCCTACTGTACGAGTGAACCTGTGAAAGCTAATGTGTTAGCGAAACTTGTCAGTTTTGTGAAAATCTAACAAGAAGTTTATGAAATATTTTTCAAGTGTAAAAACTTCACAAACGAAAAGATTTCCACGAAGTTCTCAAACACACGACATGTTCCGCTAACACAGTAACTTCGTCAGGTGATATACTGGTACGATTACCTTAGCTTACTTATATATCCAACTTTCCCAACCTGAAGGATTAATTACCTGTGGACAGGTTCGATAAACCTTCATTTTTGGAAATTAGGCGCAATATCTTCATTAAAATATGGTGTATCGGATTAAATTGAAAGGGTTGATATCAAATACATATTATTACCTACTAAGATAACAAATTCAGCAGTGGTGAACTATATTGAGGTCTAATTAATCGTTAAGTGAAATGTCAGAGTTTTTGAGTGTGTTGATTTCTAATGATTCAAAATGATTGAGTTTCATTCCTTTATTTTCTACGTGTAGAGGTATACGGAAAACGGTACATTGGATTATCCTGAAAATTTGGTTACTCTAATAAGCGTTTGTGATCTAACGATTCAAAATATTTTCAGCGATGCAGCGTTGCCACTTTTACCAAAAAGTAGCATCATCTTTGTTATTTCAAATGGAACACCCTGTATTTCATTGCGTTTTTAGATTCTTCCCGAAGAGCTGATTTCATCAATGTATCACACTTGGGGTCTAGCAGGAATCATTATAGAGATATAGGGTGCATTATCGATCAAAACGGCTTACATGTCCCTATCTTAACTTTTGATTCACTATCTACTGACATTTAATTGGAACAGATCAAAATTCTGAATCTTGGACCATCCTGTATTTTTACCAATTAAATGTCGGTAGATAGTTAATCAAAAGTTAATATAGGGACATGTAAGCCGTTTTGACCAATGATAAATAGTTTCGACACAAAAAGATCCTAAAGATGAAAAATCTCGATTTTGAACACCCTATATCTCTGTAATAATTCCTGCTAGACCCCAAGTGTGATGCATTGATGAAATCAGCTCTTCGAGAAGAATCTAAAAACGCAATAAAATACAGGGTGTCCCATTTGAAATAATAAAGATGATGCTACTTTTTGGTAAAAGTGGCAACGCTGCTTCGCTGAAAATATTTTGAATCGTTAGATCACAAACGCTTATTAGAGTAACCAAATTTTCAGGATAATCCAATGTACCGTTTTCCGTATACGTCTAAGGTACCATCGACCGTGGGCCACCCTGTATACTACTTTCAAGTCCTGTTTATGTAGAAATTTTTCAGTAGATGATCGGAAATAGGTTAGTTCTATAATTTAGAATATTATTCTTGATGGAAGGATAAACTTCTTGAATAGCTTTATTATGAAGTTTTTCAGAAAGAATACTGTCTATCAAATTAAAGTTGTATTCGTTGTTGACTGCAATCTGTTTTATAATATTGAGTTCTTTATTGAAATTTAATTCCGAAAGAGGGACCTTCACTAGTCTCTGTATCATACTAATATCACTACTAATAGTGATATCAGTGTGGGAAGTTTATGGAAAATTGAAAAATCATGTTTATCATTAATTTTACTTATTGTCAAACCTAAGAAATTGATTGAATTTTCTTTTTAAGTGTATATCATCGTACCAGTATTTCACCTGACGAAGCTACTGTGTTAGCGAAACATGTCGTGTGTTTGATAATTTTGTGGAAATCTTATCGTTTGTGAAGTTTTCACATTTGCCATGGATATCCATCAAGTAACGGCCGACTCAATAAAAAAATATATATTTTTTTCAACTAGGTATTATACGCTTCTCAAAATACTGATTCAAAATCAACCATATGTCAACCAACTGGTGGACGCAGACATCGAACAACAACTTTCACATATTGTTTGATGACGCGGAGTAGGTTTGATACCAAAGCCATCAATTTCGGAATACCACAAGGATCCGTTTTGGCACCAACGTTGATCCTACTCCATATCAATGATCTGTTGGGAGTTGGGAGTAACCACCTGCCCAATCAAAAGCTTTGCAGATGACAGTAACTCTTCATACTGTTTTCTTCCAGAACTCCCATTTCATCCCAGGAAACTAATAGTCTAAAAGCTGTCGGCAAAAATCGTTAAGTCAGCTCCAACCCGCAAGGTCAGGTAGTGGAACAACTGGTAGCGGCGCGTTATGATGTATGTCAAATTACAACTTGCTCTACAAGTGTTTAGTTATAATTGAAAATTGGTAGGAAACTATTTCATAGCATAAAAAAACGGGGGAAAGCGGTCAGACTCGATGGTTGTGGAATGCGGCGAGTCAGCACCCCACATAAGTTGTCGCCGAAACGATGTCGGTGCAAGATTTTAGTTACGATCGAAAATTCCTGTACTGCTTTATTATCATGAATAATGTGAGAAGGAAATAGTCAGACAACAAATTGATGGAACAGAGGTAGTCAGCACTCACTCAAAGTGAGGATATTATATATGTCGACTACGCGCGCGGTTGTTCGGAGGGCGTAGGGATATATACTTATTCAATTATCACTCTGTATGCATTAATTTTATAAAAAAGTAGGTAGTATTTTCAGCAAGGGTGATGACGTCATCAGTCGGTGTGTACCTCAGAGTTTCCATCATTTCTGAACTCTTTGGTGTGTGAATTCCAATGTGAACGCGTAACCTAAGCCGCCAAATGAAAATGGTTATAAAAAAAGAGGTGAACTCAACTACTCAAGACTCTTGTATCCAAAACAGATATGTATTTTAAAATATATAACATTTATTACAGTTCCATAACAATAGGTGTGATTCATGTTATTCGTTCTCGAAACCTCATCATTCTGAGTAGAAAGCAAGTCGTTTTTATTTTTACCAAAAACTGTTAGAAACCAACGAAAAGAACATTTTTTTAAAATCACAGAAAACAACATAACACGATAAATGTTGTGCTTTGAAGACAGTTTGATCTCCTGGTCGATTTTTACCCCAGTCCAGAGCGGAATGATGTCGGTGCACACTGAGACAACGTCCTGTTGATTCCTGATTCTCAAACGGTCAAAGGCAACTCTGGAGTGCACCCAATGCACCAGGGTATCGTTCCTAAACGCCCCCCCCCCCCCCCTATAAAATGTCTCCCATCTGAGTTATTTGCTCACAAAGAGATAACAATGTTATGTGATGAATGAAAAAGTATATATCCCTACGCCCTCCGAACAACCTCGCGCGTACTCGACATAATATATTATCCTCATTTTGAGCGAGTACTGACTACCTCTGTTCCATCAATTTGTGGTCTGACAATTTTTTTATTACATTATTGATAATAATGAAGCAGTACAGGAATTTTCGGTCATAACTGAACACTTGCTGACTCGCCGAGTTCCACAACCATCGAATATGATCACTTTCCCCCGTTTGTTTATACTGTGTACTAGTTTCCTACCATTTTTCAATTATAACTAAACACTTGTAGAGCATGTCGTCATTTTACATACATAGCGCGCCGCCACCAGTTGTTCCACTACCTGACCTTGCGGATGGGTGCTGACTCATGTACACCCTCAATACTAAATCATATTGAATTATGGGCCATTTCTAAACTTACCGAGTTTTGCTGCCAGCTCTTAGACTATAAGAACTCACGACAAAATCAGAGCAACGTCAAGGCAGGTCTTGCTAAAATTATAACCTCGAGAACCAACAATATAATTTATTTCACCGCCACCATAACTATATAAAGCTTGATTTTCTCTAGAAAATCCGAACTCATTATGCCTGATAAAGTACACCATATTCATGCCCGGTATTTTCATCAGTAATACTCTTTCATGGAAAAATCGTGTCAGATCTACCCCGGGAGGTGCTTCACAAAAACTAAGATTTTTCTTTCAATCTACAAGCTATACTTTGGCTCCTACTAAATTGTTCGACAATAGATTGATTTGGAATAACTATTTCAAACAGCTTTCAATCACTTGTATGCTACAATTGTTCAAATTTTCGGTGTCGGCTCCGGTAACACACAAGAAAGAACACAACCAAGCAAGATCTGTTGACAAATGTGTTTTACCAGTATGACGAACCGGAGACTACATTTGACAACGTGCACGTGACAACAGATATCATTTTAGTACTAAAAAATACCTTATAGGAGTTCAGTGGAATGTTGATTAGACAAAATATAAATGAGTTATTACTCATAACAAAAAATACAGGTAGGTAATCGTAATACAGATCTGGAAGAAAATAGCCGACATATAGGATTTTCAATGAGTTTTGTATTGTACCAAGTGGGCTAACACAAAATATGAAAGATATACGCGATGGATGAACAAGTATTCAACTGGATTCATGTTCCCCTTCCCTGAATCACAGCCTTCTTTCTTCTTCTTTCTTTCAGATCTGTATATGCAAGGGCAAGTCATATAGAAAGCTCAAAGCAGATGGCCCTGGTGAGGTTGGAGGTCATATATAAAGTCAATATCTGTTTATTTATTTACTGTAACAATCGTTTTTGAGATACTTCAATGTTCTAAGTTATATAGCTTTCATGCATTCACTGTCATGTAGATGACAGATGACCATCAACCACAATGCCACCACGAAGGAACCCTCAAGCTGCCGTTAATGACAGTGAGTACTGTTGCTTGCTGTTCGGAACCATGAGTATGGGTGAATAACATCTTCACCATTTCGATCTCGAAAGTGGCATACCTTTCTTCTTATAGAATTAGCTATCTAGATAATAGTTTATGTTGGTGATTCTTACACTGAATGGGCCTTTCCAGTTTCATAAAATTTGTTACTTCTTGGTAATTATGTCATAAAGAGATGCAGGAACCTTGCCCTGACAACATATTCATCAGAATTCTCAAGAAATGAATAGAATATTTTAGAAGTCCTGCATTTTCCAGGAATATTATACCAGTTCATCATCAATTCATTGAGAATAATTGATAAAATGATCTGTCATTTTTAGTTAATTATCAGTTCTACCGTTAGGTGACTGACTAGAAGTCGTCAGAAAGATATGTTCCATGAGTATCTTTCTTCTGAATTTTATGGTTCTGTGTCTGACTGTGCCATACCCACACTACAGCTTGTCTCATGTCATCATGACAAGTATATGTATCAATGTAAATTTGATTGATGTGAAGTAATTTCGAACATGTAGATATTCAAGTAGTTGAATGTCAATTGTTATGTCATAAATATTCATTGAAGTATTTTCACATTTCATCAGTTCTATCAAAGGTATAATTGTACATTTCTTTGATACACTTCTACATTTTTGAAGGGTGTTTTTAGAAGGTGCGTCATGATTTTTTGAAGACAACTTTTTCCAAGTATTCTTTGTGGTGAAAAAATAGGAGCTTTGGATAGTGAGAATAAAATTTCATGAAAACAGTACTCTTATCAAAATACAAAATTTGGAATAGATTCCAAGATATTTGAGTATTAGTAGTAGCATAATATCAGTAGATAATATCATCAGAAATAATACTTCAGGAGGCCTCGAACTTCTTGGCAGGACAACATATCTATTTTCAACTACGAAATAGCCACAATCCTCAAAGTGGAATGAAATATTAAATAAATGCAAAAAGCTCTAGGTCATTTCCACACAGTGTTCATAAAATGAACAACAATGGTAGATTTCGGAAAAAAAACAACTACTTCCCAGGCTAATTCCACGCAGGACATTGAATTACATCCTCCCGAAATCTATTCATCGACTCGTATAAACGAATACTGATACAAGTGATTCTTTCCTGAATGCCTATTGATTTCGATTAAGCCAGGCCGCTAGACAACCACAGACCGGTTTCGAGCTCTTTGACTCTCATCAGTGCAGTGTAGTCTCCAGCCAGCAGTCCTAAGACCGCCGACTCAGCGAAGCCTAGCCAAACAAAAATCAAGTTGGCATTATATTCACCCCGAGGCGTCTTTCAATGACAAAATGAAAGTAACGCCATATGAGTATAACAGAGAAAAGAATCACTCCAAACTGAAATTCCCATACGGGAGTGGCTGGTTGCCCGACTGGCGTAATTTCAACTACGAAATAGCCACAATGCTCAAAGTGGAATGAAATGTTAAATAAATGCAAGAAGCTCAGTCACTTCCACACATCTATTTTTCTTTTTAAAACATTATTTTTCATGCACTCTGCACATTCCTCAAGATTGTTCTAGAATTTAAAATGCATCTAGCGGGAAACATTTCGGCATAAAGAATTACCTGCAATTTCTTAAAATCGCAGTTGAAAATCGCAGTAATAATATCACTAAGTAGAAAAACTAAACAACGAAATTAACAAAAACAATGTTCAAAATTGATCATGGCCTCCTAAAATATTGTTACTGATGAATTAATCGGCTGATATCATGAGACTACATAAACTCAAATACATATCTCGAAAACGGTAACATTTTTTTGTATTTTGATGAGATTGATGAGACATGTATTTCATCAACAACATTCATGCAAGAAATTTCAATCTTGTGGCTTTCACCGTTTAGAAGATATGCGAGAAATTTATCTCAATTTTATCAACTTTGGAAGGATATATCTTACATTTTGGGATATTAGTTCATCTATCAATACTTATTTTTCAATGTACAGTGTGTCCAAATTTCGATGCTTTTGTCTGATATCTCAGTTATCTTTCGAGATCGAACCTTGCGGTTTTCGCGGTTCTGTACCACTTTTCTGTGAAACTCAAGACGGCCTAATCAGATTTTGCATAAATGTTTGCGTTTATGAGATACAGGGCGATTTTGAAAATTTATACTTTTTGGACCCCGTCTATATCTACGAAGTTTCTCAGCGAAAATGTCAAATTGGAATCTTATCCCATAAAGAATTTTGCGCAGAATTCAGTGGCGCACTCAAATTTTTTTTTCTGGGTATGGTTTCGGAGATACGACTCAAACTTATGATTTTTCAAATGGAACACCCTGTAATTTATAAGCTCATTAAATTCCTTAGTTTTTCCCCATCAAAATGAGATATGATGAATATGTATAAAATTTTCGAAAATGCTCCAAAATCACTAAAACATTGAATTTTAATAGTGGGCTATGGTTTTTTCATTTAAAAAAAGTTCCAATTGAAGAATATTTCAATTGATTCTTCCATGAAAAGGACAAAAACAATCCCAACACTAGTTGATTAAGATAACACAAAAATTAGGTACCTGATAGCAACAAATGAATGGTAATAAAAAGTTCATACTCTAGAATAAGCACCTGATTTAATATCCACTAAGACAATTGAATTTCGGAATTAATCAGTAACTTATTCATTGAATTGTTCAAATTGATATCCACTTTTCCTCACACGCTTTCTCAATACGTCTTAATGCATTCAATCATTAAAGGATGTCTTTGTAATTCCTGGAAAACTGCCTCTGTTGTTGAACGAAGTTCTTCAAGATATTTGTGACTCTTATTGTATCAAGACGTATTGAGAAAATGTGTCAATTGTGTGTTATAGAAAATGGACATCAATTTGAACAATTCAGTGAATAAGTTATTGAATAATTCCGAAATTCAATTGTATTTGTAAATATTCAATCTGGTGCTTATTCTACATTATGAACTTTTTATTACAATTTATTTGTTGCTATCAGGTACATAATTTTTGTGTTTTCTTAGTTAATTAGTGTTGGTATTGTTTTTGTCCTCTTTATGGAAAAATCAAAATGAATATTTCTTCAATTGGAATTTTTTATAAGAAAAATTCATAGATCACAATTAAAATTCAATGTTTCAGTGCTTTCAGAGCATTTTTGAAAATTTCATATACATACATTATAAATCATTTTGAAGAGAAAAAAATGAGGAATTTTATGAGCTTATAAAATACAGGGTGTTCCATTTAAAAAACCATAAGTTTGAGTCGTATCTCCAAAACCATACCCCGAAAAAAAATTTTGAGTGCGCCACTGGATTCTGCGTAAACTTTCATATGGGATGAGATTCAAATTTGACATTTTTGTTGAGAAACTTCGTAGATATAGAGGGGGTCCAAAAAGTATAAATTTTCAAAATCGCCCTGTATCTCATAAACGGAAACAGTTATGCAAAATCTGATAAGGCCATCTTGAGTTTCACAAAAAAGTGGCACACGATCGCGAAACCCGCAAGGTTCTATCTCGAAAGATAACTGAGATATCACACAAAAGCATCGAAAACTGGACACACTGTACAATCACCTCCAGAAAACTCGGAACACATTTTTGACTCACCCTCATAGCTTTCGGTATAAATTGGAAAAGTTGTGAAGTCAATAGTGCATTTTATTGGTATTTGCGAGAAAATGGGAGATTACCAATCAAAATTATTGCTCGCACACTGAAGTCACAAGTTCTGCAGCCATGTCTGATAGTTTGTTTATTCTGGCATTTTCAATAATACATTTGAAGAATGATGTTGTGTTCAGGTTTTCCATATGCATGTATTTCATCGAGATATAATGACTAGAAAGGCCCTTTGTTCACATAAACTCATTATTTTGTTTTCAATCACAAGGAAACTAAATAACTACCTGCTATTTTGATAAGGTGAAATATTACCGTTTCACACAATCCAATGGCGATCTATATTCTGGAACAACATTGTGAGTCTTATAAATTCTATCAATATCATTAGGATCTCCCGGATTAATTGGTGCTTCAATGACATCTGAATTGTTACCGTCTATCTCTCTCTCCTCGTTTGGCTGTTCAATTCCCTCTTTGGGAGCATTAGTCAATGTTGTTTCTTTAAGAAGTATTTCATCATCCATCAACTTCCCCTTCATACTGTTCGACATCACTTCTGATATGGTATGATTTGGTGTAACATTAGGTGTCAATGAAGGAATCGTACTGGCTTCAAATGATTCTAGAGGTGGATGATCTTTTTTAGGGGTCGAAGTAAAGGCAACATCTTTTTGTTTCTTATTTTGAAGTATCCCCTCTTTCGATTTTGATTCCTTAGGTTTAGTTCCTTCCATACGGTCATCATTCGGTTTGACAGATGAACTGAAAGTTAGAATGGTCGTCAGGGGATTTCTTTCATTTTCAATTAGCATTTCTCTCATAAGCTTATAGCAAATAGCAATAAAAAAAATCTATTTCATGTTTAAAAAAGCAGAACACCTTCGGGTATAGTATAATATGCCACAATCAATACAAAACATGTTGGTAGGTAGGTATGTAACAATGAGAGAATAGTTATTCATACACCATGGTAGTGAAGACTATTGTAATTACCCAAGCAGGTTTCTATAAATGATCGTAGCATCGTAATGACCATTGAAAAATTTAATTGATTTGTCGCCCTCTGCTTGTTATTAAGAGACATTGAAGCGACCGAATGTGTTATAGTTCGAGCAATCGTAAGTGGAGAGCGGCAAATCAATAAAATATTTCAACGGCCACTAGGATGCTATGATCATTTATAGAAACCCTGTATAGAGAAACAAATCCTTTTCATATGCACTAACCTCTCAATCTCCTGTTTCTGTTTTATCAATTCCTGGACGTGCGTCGAAAAACTAATGTGTGTTTCACGAAGTTTGCTTTTTGCCTCAGCTAGCTCCTGAAGCAATCTCTTCACTTCTTGATCGTACTTCTTCCTTTCCGTAGTCGCTTCGTTGATTTTTTTGATGATAGGCGTGAGCACAACATATTTCTCTTCAATCTGTAATCTTTGGTCGACGGCATTTTGTTATATAAACAATAACCAATTGAAAATAATTGGTATTGTTATATTTCAAAATGAGGTCCAAATTGAGGAACCTGGTGTATTGAGAAGAAAAATTAAATGGGAAATTGAGACTCAATCTTGGTTGAAACCCGAGTTTCTGAGACATGTTTATTCTGAGTATAACTAATTCATCAACTTAGTTTGATACCATTTCTGAATAATAACAAAGGACCACACCATTCATATTGAAATCTTGTCTATGGTGAAATGATGTGAAAATCTATGAATAGATAGATTGAATCATGTTGAACAATAGTATATTACACACCGAGGTGGGAAGTGATTCATTCCTGGCGTGAGATTAGTCAGTTAACCGAGACGCAAAGCGTCGAGGTTAGCTATAATCTCGAGCCAGGAATGAAACTTCCTACCGAGGTTTGTATACTATTCTATTTACAACCATCAGATTTCGATCAAAATTAATAAATATCTGTTTCGTTCTGAACATATCTGAAATATCACAAAATTGAGGGCGGGAAGTAGAGAGGGCAAGAAGTGAGGGGGCGGGAAGAAGAGGTGTGTGATGTGACACTTCCCAACCTTCAATGACGTTAGTAATGACAACATTACATATATGGTTTTAAATAAAAATGTTATTTGATCCAAGGCCCGTTATTCCCGTTAAAAAAAGTTATGTGCTCTTTTTTTGAATTGACTCGGCCGTTACTTGAAGGAAATCCATGGCAAATGTAAAAACTTCACAAACGATAAGATTTCCACAAAATTCTCAAACACACGACATGTTTCGCTAACACAGTAGCTTCGTCAGGTGATATACTGGTACGATGAACTAAACTAACATTGGCTTGCTTGACTTTTATATATCCTACTTCCCCAACCTGAAGGATTAGTTACCTGTGGACAGGTACAATATCCGAAAATGGAGGTTCATCGTTCACCTGACTAAGCTACTGTGTTAGCGAAACATGTCGCGTGTTTGAGAATTTTGTGGAAATCTTATCGTTTGTGAAGTTTTTACATCATGTGCTCTTGAAGCCAAACAAGATAACCTTTTTCAGAACACAAGAAATTGTAGAAATGCTTTTTACATACGTATCAATGAGTGCATGTGTTGAATATTCGAGTAACCTTACTTGTATATAATTAATGAATTCAATGGAAGTTCAGAGACTTCCGAGGAGACTTCATCATGGGCAATTTTTAGTGTATTTTGTGAGTTCAAGTGACACTCTATGAGACGGTAGGACAGGACAAAATTCTTACAGTCGACTCCACCAAAGCTATACTTTATTGTAAGCAATCTTACAGGGACATGTTTCGAAGCTTTAAAGCTTCATCATCAGCATTATTGTTACATATAGGAGTACTAAAGTGAGAGAAAAGATAACAATGTCAGACAAACTCCTCAACAATGATAGTTGTAAAAAACTCACCTGTTCTGGAGGAAAAAAGTTATGTATACATATAATTCATGTTGGTGAAAATATTTTTAAAATTAAGAAAAAGTTAAATGGGGACCGCAATTATTGCGGAACCCCTTTGTTAGGGAACTTTAAATAACATGATATTAAGTAATTTTGGAGCAAATAGAAAAATTATTTTCTGTTCATACCAAACTCTCAAAAGGCAAGGAAAATGAAAAGTCGATATAACATACCGGTCAGACAGGTCGCAAATTCAGAACTAGAATCACAGAACATGTACGAATCATGGATATTAATTCCGAAAAGGATTTCATCAATACCAATTCTGTATTCCCAAATCACATAGTCAATGAAAAACATTCCTTCGACCCAAATTTGAACCTTAAATTCTTACACTTTTGTCATAAAAGTAAAAAACTCAACTTACTTGAAAATTTTGAAATTCATAAAGCCTTTAAGAATCCCGATAAAATGACTTGTATCAATGAACAGACTCATTTTGACTGTTCTAAACTTTTCAATTGTCTCACCTTCATCAATACCTAATAACAAAATTATTCAATTCCATTTGATAGGACTGATCCAATGCCTAAAGTTTACCAATAGTTCCATGAACCATAAAATTGTTATTGCTCCCATCTTGATTTCACTATACTCTCCCCATCTCTAGCCTTTTTATTGTTCCACGTCACCTCTGTCACTTCATGTCAGAGTCATTCAATTCTTTTGATTTTTGACTTTTCATTTTCCTTGCCTTTTGAGAGTTTGGTATGAACAGAAAATAATTTTTCTATTTGCTCCAAAATTACTTAATATCATGTTATTTAAAGTTCCCTAACAAAGGGGTTCCGCAATAATTGCGGTCCCCATTTAACTTTTTCTTAATTTTAAAAATATTTTCACCAACATGAATTATATGTATACATAACTTTTTTCCTCCAGAACAGGTGAGTTTTTTACAACTATCATTGTTGAGGAGTTTGTCTGACATTGTTATCTTTTCTCTCACTTTAGTACTCCTATATGTAACAATAATGCTGATGATGAAGCTTTAAAGCTTCGAAACATGTCCCTGTAAGATTGCTTACAATAAAGTATAGCTTTGGTGGAGTCGACTGTAAGAATTTTGTCCTGTCCTATTGCCTTCACTCCACTGTAAGATGGATCGCCTCAGATGTTTGAACTCTATGAGACGGTTCTTACGAGTTCCTAGTGTAATTTTGTATCAGCTTATTAGAGGTTAGACTATTGGTTAAGTGTCTATTTGTTTTGTTTTCTCAAGGAATAGTAGTTTGAGCGCCGCGGGCTTGAAGTGACACTTTTAAGCTTCAAAGGGTCACGAACAAGGTGTTCATGTTACTTTTTGTCCGCCTGAACGTGAAAGTTACATTTAGGACCGCATAATCGGGCGTAAAGTGCCTCTTTAAGGCCCACGGGCCTATTATCTTAGCCTAAGATAACGCCGAAACGGATTATCTTTCAATTACATGAACAAAAAATGTCGAATTGAACCCGTTCAGAGAACTAAAATGCGCTGAGAAATCACTATACATCCAGAAAGAACTTGAAACCAGTAAAGGTACATTCATAACCTATAGGTACAGAGACCCTCTAGAATGTATCTTGTTCTGGTAGAGGTTATCTCGCTAGGCTTCACAAGAGCTCATAACCTTTTTAAACAGGCATAACGGGCCTTGGACCAAAGGACAATTCTTGTTCAGCATGATTTAATTTATCTAATACTAGATTTTCACATCATTTCACCGTATACAAGATTTCAATGTGAATGGTGCGGTGTCCTTTCAGAAGTGATACGATATTATACGGGGTGTCCGGAAAGGTCATGTCGTAATGATAGGGCTGTAAGAGTGAGCCAAAATAATGTTATTACTTCATATAAAAAAATGTCTATCACACTTCTTTATGGAGTGAATGACCTTAAAAGTTTCTGCAAGTCCATACATATGCATTCATCATTACTAAACTCATCCATGGTGATACTAAAGTATTAAATACTGTCAAAATAATTTGATATCAAATATGACACTGATGATAAATTGAGTTTTGGTTAAAGAGAGAGAGAGAGAGAGAATTAGACTTTATAGTTGCACGAAACACATCATGATTACAAAGCATGTAGGTCGACAATACCTAAGGTCAATATAAACCATTTGAAAGTTCGATAACGAAGTGCGATAGACATTTTTTTTATATGAAGTACTGCGACATTATTCTGGCTCACTTTATCACCCCTATCATTTACGACATGACCTTTTCGGACACCCTGTGTTATAATATGTATAGCACTGAATTTTGACATGTCTTCCGATGATACAATCGAACGACAAAGATGGATGATGGATTTCAAGATGGATTTATTACAAATGAGATATTCGGAATCCTACTCAGGTTGACAAGGCTCTCAATCTACAAGCCCGTTTACCTACTCCGTTGCCTTCAAATCAACAATGTTTGTTACTTCGGAGGAGGCGCATTGAATACGTAACAGGAAATGAGTGATATTTTCTCGTTCTAAACCACTGACATAACTACTATCTAGGCCACAATATAATGTGATAACCGCAACCCAAAAATCTCATTAATATTGCTGGTCTGAAAACGCTTCTGCTCAATACGCTGATAGTTCAGTAAAGTTAAACATGAAATGGAGAGGGGGGGTTGCAAAAGGTCCGGTCGTTCTGAATTCTTTATATGTTGTTAGGACCTAAACCAATGATAAAAAACCAGATTTGCAATTTCCAAATTGCTGTGCGAGCGGCGGTATACCCAAATAACAATGAAAGTTTCGGACTTTTTTCAGTTTTCGCTCAATATCTTAGAGAAGGAAGGGTTTGACCGGTATAGTCACCATTTATACTTTTGAATTAAATTAAATTTGCTATAATTTGAGGCCAAGATGAGCCCCATACAGCTATTGTTTTCCAAGATACAGTTCTTTGAAAATAGTCAATTTTTTCGAAAAAGTAATTCCTTCAAAATGGTCACATATTTCGTGAGGAATCTTCGATAATACGCTTACCACATGAAATATTATATGTAATGAAGTTGAAGAGAATTCAATAAGATTTGTTTTGAGACCAGATTGGTATCTGTAAGCCCAGCGGTTCTCTCGAAAACGGCAGATATCCAAGAACAGTCATAAGTGGGTTTTAGGGAATAATGAGAATGAACTGTTCTCACGTCTTTTTATTTTCTATTTATCAAACAGTTGCAATTTATTAATTTTTGTTATTATTGAAGAATTGTTTGATGAAAAATGAAAAAGATAATACAGGGTGACTTCAATATGGTATATGAAAACAAAATTAAAAGTGTTGCGATGATATTAATCATTAATTTTGAAAGTAAAGGGATCCGGATTCCACTTCTTGAACACAATGTTGTCCAAATGTCGTCCGTCCTTTTCATAGCATTCCTCCAATGATTCTCTTGAATATTGGAATACCCGCTGACACATATTCCTATTTCAATAGGAATTTTGTTAATTGCCTGTCGAATGTTGTCTTTCAACTTCTCCATAATGGCTGGAGGATCGGAGTAGACGATGCTCTATATCCCCACAAAAAAATCGAGGGGCGTGAGATCTGGCGATTTTGTCGGGAAAGTGGTGTCCCTAATTTTCGAAAAATTCGCCGTGACGTAACATGGGAATCGTTAGATTTAAAAAACGCCATGCATTCTGACAATCCGCAGGTAGTCGCCGCACATTACAAGCGCTACTTCCCTCACAACTGTTAGTATGTTTGTACAGGGCGCATGCTGAAAGTAAAATTCACTCTGTATATCTTTCAGGAATAACGCTATTATCAAACGTTGTTTTATATTTACTAATATAAAACATATACTTATTGAGACAGGTAGCCAAATCATGACTTTCTTTTTATCTTTGATGGCCCGGGCTTAGGCTCGCACGAAGATGGTGTCTCGATGGCTGTGATGGATGCTGGGAGAGGCGCGCAATCGGTAGTCGGGTCATCTTCATCAAGCGATCATTTCAGCTCTACATCCGGGACGTTCGTGCAGAATTTGTCACTGCATGACTGGCAGAGGACAGAGCAGTGGAGCCCTGCCTTTCTGCACAAACAGTTCTCAGGGCACCCTTTCGTGCATTTACATGAGATCTTTCGCAGAAGAGCCAGATGTGCGGGATCCCTGGTGGTGGAGATGAGGGTGAGTCGGTGAGCCCAATCAAGTTTACTCCTCGCCACTTCTGCACTTGGAGGTAGCACCTTGCTGCATGGTGGCCTGAGGCATCTTCCATCGGTGGCAATCGAGCGAGGTTTATGCTCGTTGAAGTAACAAACGTCTTATACCTCAGGAAATCCAAAGTATCCTTTGCGATATCACCCCCATATAGATCCACGAAACATTTAATGCCTGCTTCTCTCACGGCTTGTGGGGTGGAGTCTGAACGAAGTAAGACTACCTCGTGCTCAGCAAGTGGTTCACTCTTGCTCAGGAGTGTAGTGAATTTGGCCTTCCCTTGGCCAAACGGCGCTGAGGTAGTATCGCACCCAGTGAATGTGTGGGTGAATAGTGCCGTCCCTGGTGATCGCTGGGAGTCCTGGTGGTTGTATAGGAGTTCGTAGAGAAATGACAGCGACCAGCTTCGCTCTTCGTGCTCTTCTGAAGGTAGACGTTTATCTCATCAGCGCCTAAATCATTGAGAAGAACGAGCAGGTCGACGTCTTTTCCCTCTATGACGACCCGATCGGCTATTACTCGTTTTGAAAGCGCCGTCATGACGATCTCCCGTTCTGCATCCCCAACCCCCACTTATGACTGTTTTTGGTTATCAGCCGTTTTTGAGAGAACCACGGAGAACCGCTAGGCCTACAGATACCAATCTAGTTCAAAATGAAAGCTTATTTAATTCACTACAACTTCATTTCCATAATATTCGACGTGGGAAGCGTATTTAAGAAGATAATTCACAGAATAGGTGACCATTGTGAAGAAATTCAACTTTTTCGAAAAAATTGCCTATTTTCGAAGAACTGAATCTTGGGAACCAATAGCTGTATGGAGCTCCTCTTGGCCTCTTGTAGCAAATTTAGTTATCTTCAAAAGTTGTATTGAGCGAAAACTGAAAGAAGTCCGAAAATTTCATGGTTTTTTGGGTATACCATCACTCTCACAGCACTTTGGAAATTGCAAATCTGATTTTTTTATATTGGTTTAGGTCCTAACAACATATAAAATATTCAGAATGACCAGACCTTTTGCAAGCACGGATGTACATCTTGATTGGACTATACCAAACTATTATTCATGACATCATGTCATGAGATCAGGTTACATCTCTTGGTGTTTGGAACATAAGTAAGAGTTAGATAATATATGAAAGGTTCTGAATGCGCAACCTCCATTCAACCAAGTTGAATCTCATAAATAATTGAGCTTTGATCCTAGGCCAGTGAATTATTTCAGAATGTATTTTATGCATTTTTTTTATATTCCATGAATGTTTCTTTTGAATCATTTTCTATCATAAATATCCGGATGAATTCATACACAATTATGTAACGTTTCAGATGCATTTCCATTGAAATGTTTCCGTTGAAACATTTATATCAATTATGGTGTCATATGTTCCCGAGTATGTTCCACAAATGTATCAGAGTTAGGAGAAGAAATGTTTTGATCAAAATATAATTGGGTTATGAAATGTTTCAGAAACAAATTTTGGTTCACTAGAGAGTATGACCGATTTTGGTATAATTATTCAAAAATTTGATCCATTTTCTGAATCTGTCCATTAGTTCTCCAATCCGTCCAATGTCCAATCTTAGGCCTATCTATTTAAACCTGGACCAAATCGTTCAATCTTGGACAAATGTGGATCCATAATCAATGTCTGTTGGAATCAATTCTGGATCAATCTGTTCAATAGTCCAATATGACATATTCAGTACGTCCGATTTCGACCATAATCATCCAATCCTGTCCAGTTTCTTACAAAATGCCATGGATGCAATATTTGTGTACACAGGAGAGTGAATCGCCCCTTGGCGAAATATATACAGTGACTCTAAACAACAAAAAATGTCCAATGGAGTAATGCCATCCTTATAATAATACTTAACTGGCAAATTAACATTTTAAAACCTCATAGACTTGGTAGGTAACTGGAAGTAGGTTTCTAAAATTACATTGTGATATCAATTTTTGAAAACAACACTTTTTATGCTGGATATCTACTCTGCTGTGAATTTTGCTGCTGCTTTGAAATATACTGCTCAATGAGTTAGGAATGTTATTGTGAAAAAAATCAATCAATATGTATTCTTTTTTCAATTAGTAAAATTTGTCCAGTTATAATTATTATTCATGTCTAATCTGGTCTAACCATATGAAAGCAGTATAATCATAACATCAACAAATAGATCAACAAATCAAAATCATATGGAATGGAGTACCTATACAAAACAAAAAAGATTTGAAGTACAAGACAGTCCCAGTACAGCTGAAGTTACAACAAAGTATGATGCTTGTTAAGGTAATCTGATGAAGTTCAAGCACCAAGCTGTGCAAGTTTGGCAAATACCTTCCATTATTTTTCAATTAATTCCATATTAGGCTTGATAACATGTTAGATACCCGAAATTGAATTACAAACATTTATACCAACGCCCCCAAAAACCCTTCAGATAATGAAATATTGCTAGTTTCAGCAGATACATTTCAACTGGCATTTCAAAGTTTATTGTGGTGTAATCTCCGGTGTAATCAATATTGTCAATCAGAATCATCATGTTTGTATATTCTACCTTTGTTCTGGTCAGCAACTGATTATGTTAATAATTCTTCATTGATTTTATCTGATATATGTAAGTCATTGGTTTGAATTGCTATTATGGCTCAATGGCGTGCTGGTACATTTTTGTATAGGTATATTGATTTGAAATTATTTTGAATTGACCTATTTTGACCTCCAGTTTACCCTGTAGAGATTAATATAGTTTATTTCTGGAATACTCTGTATATACTTTTATAATAATACTCATGACAACAATATTATTAGCAGTCTGTAATTTTCCCACAAAAAGGTAGGTTCAGGTAGGTTAGTGAGAAGGGTGATTATTTCAATTTAAAATTTTGGGAAGTTATGATCACATTCTACTGAAACTAGAAGGAATGTAAGGATAGTACTTCAGGTAGTACTTAGGTGCTGAAAAGAGTTATTACTGATCTTGATTTTCAGCTTGCTAAAATAAGCTTGAAAATAAGTTTCCTCCAGGTATATTCACTTCTAGTTCAGAATATTCAATATGTTTCTCCAGTTTATATTGATAATTATGTTTAGAAATGGTTCACAGGAGGATTGTTCCAGAGGGCTAGTTTTGTGGGTTGTGGTTAATTAATAATTCTAGAAAAAATATACAGAAATTGTGAAATACCTTCCATTTTTCTGCCTTTGCATCTCTTTCAAAGCAAAATGCAAAGTTCTAGCATCATTTTTTATGTCAGGATACTGTTCTACCTTATGCACACTATCTTTCACAGACACTGACATTTTATTCCTAACGATCTTCTTATGAGTATTACCCACAGGTTTTGGCTCACCAGTAACTCTTGATGATAAACGCCTTACTCTAGGTCTCCGTTCTGCATTCTTGAGTTTTTGCAGTAATTTCTGATACTCTATCTGTTTATTTTTTGGTAACAGTTTAACTGAAGACTTTTCTAATATCACAGATGTACTTATTGGTTTATTAGGAGTGCATTTTATCCCAGTTAGTTTACATGAGTCAGTTGGTTTACTGGATTCAATTGGCTTCTCAATTGGTTTACTAGAATCATTTGGTTTAATGATTCCTAATGGTTCAGTTCTTTCAGGCACTGCTAGACATCCTAAACCACTTTCTGCTTCAACCTTTGCTCTTTGTTCCTTCAAGAATTTTTCTACTGAACTTTCAATCTCACTAGGTTTGGGAAGGATCTCTGGTTGCTTTACAACATTTTTTATAGTATTATTGGCAGATTCATCATCTGTGTCAGATTCATCCACATTGATGATAATAGGATGTATTCTGGCAATTGTCTTCATATGTGATTTGAAATTCTGTCTATTGATAGAATGATTCTTGAATGGCACTATTTCCTTCTTAGTTACTGTAGTTGGCAAGACTTTGTTCATCTGATGAGCAGTTTGCTTTGGTATCACACTTTCTTTCAAAGCTTGAGTATTAAGTACAGTCTTTGTAGGTACCACTTCTTTAGTTATTTTTTTTGACATTGAAGCTAATAGCAAAGCTCTAAGAACATCTTCATCTTCATCTGGAGGTGGCATAATATGGATAATTTCTTCTTCATTTTCACATGGTTTTTCCTCAGATTTTTCATTACACATTTTTTTATTTGGAGGTTCGCTGTCATTGATCAACTGTGTATTTTCTTTATTGATTTCAGATGTATCTACCTTATCAATAACTGTCAGGTCATCTCCATTTTCCAATATTTCTTTAATTTTCCTTTTCTTTCTATGCTCAAATTTATTAAGCACAGCTGTACGAAGAGCTTCTAATCTCAGCTGAATTAGGTCTTCATCAGGTTCATTAGAACTTTCCTTCAGGTGTTCTGCTTCATTGATGATTTCTGGTTTGTTGCCAGGCATCTCACTGCCAATACTTCCATATATCAAATCATTCTCATTGTTCTTTGTCATTGCTCTCAGTCTGGTTCGTAAGCTATTCTTATGGCATTCTTCTGTGTCAACTCTGATAGCAGCTTTGAGTTGTTTCTGCAATTTGCGATCCAAGAATTCATCACTATCAGAATCACTAAATAGATGTCTTCTATGATTATGACTGCACCTCTTTCTCCTGAAAGACTTGTTTTTCCTTCTTGGAGGTTTACGGTGGTGCCGAGTTTTACATTTATTATCTTCCTTTTCTGGCACATCAGAATCACTGACACTACTCAGAGAAATTGCAGGTATTTGCTCTTTAGGAGCTATAAACTTACCAGTGTGGAAGGGTTCAATGATAGAATTATCAGAAATATCCTCGAAATCATCATCAATGATTTCGCCTTCTTCAGGGTCATCATCAGATATTATAAGACTCATTGTCAACATCTACAAGGTAACACCAAAGAAAATGTAAATAATGGTATAATGAAAAAGGTCGCTCATATATATATTCACACAATATTTCCCACTCCTGAGTAACTTATAACTTATCACCAAATATTATTAGATCTTTGCTTATCACCATTTATCACTTCAAGTTCCTAATATTGCTAGAGAAGAGAAAGGGAGAACCGACCCAACACTCCAACACCACAGAAAACCCCAACCCCACCATGAATAGGTCGCGTGCACGAAGACCGACCCTGGAGGCAAAATATTGTAACACAACCTCATTCTTCTGTGAATTATTGAAACACAACCTCACTTTTTTATTTGGTTACAGACACTTACAGAGGAATCAGAAGGTTGAAATAGTTTTTCACAATATTTTGGCATACGAATCGTGTTTCTTGCGTTATTCATTAATTCAAGCATGCCTTCGCATTGTGCTGTTGTACAATGCACAAAAAATGCAGCAAGAGACTAGGGAATATGATTTTTCAGGTAAATAGTAATCTCACATAGTTAGCATTATGAAATGTTGTCATTCCTTATTAAAATTCCTTCTGCCTTCTGCCACTTCTGCAATACAAGCTAATGCTGCTAATAGATTGAAAATGTCTACAACACACACGATCGTCAGCATGTCAGACCAGTCCTACCGATTGATTGCATGAACCCAATCTTCTTGCATTATTCTAAAAATTTCAGGTATATTTTTATTAGCTGATCCTATTGCGGAAGGAATTCCGATGAGAAATCAGAGAAATAACCAAATTTCAAAAATGAAAACTATGTGAGTGACTATAGTAGGTACTTACTTTTGAATCATAATGTACCATCCGGTTCTTCATCTTCTGCTGCAGTTTTTGTGCATTTTACAACAGCACAATGTGATGGCAATAGCGAATTGATGAATAGCGGAAAAATACGATTTATATGCCAAAATAATTGTGGAAAACTATTTCGATCACTTGTAAACAAATATGTTTTGCCTCCAGGGTCGGTCATCTGACAGTTCTTGCACGCGACCTATATAAAATTTATCAGACAGCAGACAGCTGTCACTTCTTGTACATGTCTTATGTTTGTCAACCATATATCTACTACTCATATATGAAGCATAGCTGTCCTCAAAGCGGGACCAACTTCTGTCTGTATAGAATGATGGATAGATGGAAGTAAGGTATGGTGTAATTACTTTACTCGACCTCTCGAGAGCAGCGAGAGCAATGGTTCCGTTGATCTTCTAATAGATGGCGACATTGCACAATTATGACTTCTGTCAGTTTTGAAATGGGCGTGTACACCTTAGTAGAACTTTTAACTCAAACCATGTTTATAATGATCCTTTTATACATAAATAATTATTGACGACATAATTCCATCGAAACATTAACTGGAATGTTTCATTTTTGGACATAAATAATAGTACCTTCTGAAAACGGACCCTCTTATGACGTAGAAACCTCATCTCGCCATAGTTAAAAGAAAATAACAAACGCCCGACGGAGACTGAGGCAACTGATATATTAATTCTTTCAACTGTGTTCTCGCGCTAATTCACTCTGTCAGAAATCATTTATCATTCATCTTTGTCTGGAATAGTCTTCTTTCAGTATTAGGGTTCTGACGTCACATCATCGCCTCGTTGTTGTATTGAGTTCATTGGTTTTCAGAGGTCCGAAAAATGTGGGATTTCAAAAATTTTTTATGAAACGTAGGGAGCTCACAGCAAGAAACGTTTTGCGGTGGTGAGCTAGTTTGGGTGAGTTCTATCGAATTAGGAAATAAAAATTTTTTGTGATATAAGCCCATTGTCGCAGATTTTTCGAATTTTGAGTTTTTAAGTCTCACTGTTACATAATCATGTTCCGCGTACCTAAAATGGCATTTGCCATTTTATTTCCACTCGTCACAGCAGCATTAGCAGCATCACCATCTAGCGGGAAAATGTCTTGCTCGTTGTGACGTAGAGAAATCATAGTAGGCCGGTCGAGTGATTTTTCCGAAATTTTCAATATGTAATAATGGCCGAATACGCACACCATATCTTTACTTCCATCATTCTGTATAGGCACCGAACATCAACTAATTATAGGCGCTTGCTTAACCTGCTAAACTTGATTTTTTTCTATGACTTTCTTTGTTTGCATCATGGCATGAACAGATGGAAAAAAGATCAACTTGAGCCACTTTAGCAATACAAACGAACAGGCCTGATTTTCGGTGGTATAGCACCGAAATAGGTAACGAAATCGATGCCGACGTAGGGAAAAAAATGATACGAAACTTGTCAAACCAATATGGCTGTTTCCATCCTCCACTTTCCGTGAATAGTTCAATATTTTGTATGAAAAGAAGCTCGGCAATAAAGTGCAATGATCTTATCTCACAAAAGTTGGGGCGCTTGCCGGTTTGCAAACACCTAGGTCACACTCCCCAAGGGCGGCATACGAACTGGGAGTGGCAATTTTTCAGTGTTATAGTCGATGATCTAAGAATGTATGAAGTTTGGCGAAACAATGAATTCGGACCCATTCATCAGTTTCCCGACATTTGCATACGATTCCGGAGAGGGGAGCTCGACTTATTCATGACTTATTTGAACATCAATTATTGACTAGACATCTTTCAAATAATCGATGATTTAAGTTCGTATGCACATCTCTGGACCGATAAACTAGGATATTCTGTATAACTGAATGCTATTTGCATACGAATTCAATATGAGCATACGTTGTTATAATCGGGCAAACCCGCGCGTGCCTCGGTCAGGCGCGGCGCCCCTCACTGCAGGGCAAAGGTGCTCCGAAAGCGAATTAGATAATCTGGAAGTCTCATAATCTCACTTCACATGGAACCAGGGTCAAAGACTAACTTCCTGGGAGTGAGGGGGGTATTCGAAGACGCAAATTGCAGATATATTTGTATTCATTCATAAGAAATTTACAACTCAACAAAATTACATTTATGTGAAAGGTTTAGTACCGAGACATTCTTTTGTGTGATTTTAATTCGAAAAATAGGGCTTTGAAAAGATGATAAAAAAAATTGACGACAAAATACTCGCAGGATGATCAAGAGGGATATCGTACAGGGAGAAGAGGGGTGGATTATTGCTCATGATCGAAACTCACGATAAATCGAATTGAAATTCTTTCCTGGGGACGGCTTATGGGACTGCTTATCGTAATACTATCGCCAAAAAAATATATAAAGAATGTACATTCAATTTGTTGAATGTTTTGGGTATAGTGTGGGGTCCAGTATCCTGAACTTCAATCTACATTTTCGTTTCTCACATAAAAAAAATTATTCGAAAATGAAATTATATTAAATGAAAACAACATTACATTGTTGTATATCGTCCTGTCTATCAGTGAATAGTTCTTGAGATATTTGAATATCGGATCTCCGATGAAAGGGAAAAACATTATTGAATGCTTAAATCATTATGTGCTACACTCTACCCGGCTGACGCAGCAAATCATTGTTCTGATATTAAAAATGTTTCAACAAAAAAAAAGAAAATACTTCAAACCCGGGATTCATATTTCTGGCACAATTTGACAATTTGGCGCATGATCACTATAAGAGTGCTGCGTGAAAATGGTGTAAATGATATCGCTAGATGCTGTAGAGCTGTATTCGTCTGAATTCGTCATGATAATCTCAACTCGATAGTGAAATAAAATATAGTGTTCCAATAAAAAACATCAACAACTACCCCATAGTTCATCTGTTATGAACAGCCTGTGAATTTTTTGATAACAATGAAAAATCTCTCGGAAAAATCATTTTAATTGGTTTTTGAAATTTTAAAATCGGTTCAGAAACAACTAAGTTACAATGGGAGATATTTATGGTGAACAACCCTGTACGGAATGTGCAAATTGTATGCAAAGCATCATCTCATATATACTGTGTGCCAGTGTGTGGTCCACTAACCATGGTCAAAATTTGAACATTTCTTCGATTATCGACTATTTGAAGGGTATCCAGTCAAATGATGTTCGAATAAGTCGAGCTCCCCTCTCCGGAATCGTATGCAAATTTCGGGAAATTGATTAATGGGTCTCAATCCATTGTTTCGCCAATGAGCATACATTCTTTTTGATCATCGACTATAATTAATTTAATCACTTTAAATCACTTACCCGTTAGTAATAGTATTAGTAATAGTATTAGTTAGGGTCCCTTGATGGAAATTGACGTTAAAGTCATCTTAACAGGGTACGGACAGATCCTCGTCTCCTCTCACTCTAAAGTGTTTGTGAAACAGTTATATAGTTCCATCCTTATTCAATTCTGGGGATAAACACTAGATTTTTGACATTCGTTGTTTTTTAGGTTATATTGAGGACACTGGCGTATCATACGTAATTTCCATATGGAATTCCTGATTCAACTATACCAAGATATAGATGAACAAACCTCTAGTTTTAGAGTTTACTATTCCAGCATGATCTTTGCGATTTAGGTTAGGGAACATATAAATTGTACTGAAAGCTCAATATATTTCACCAAAAGAGACTGTTCTTAGACTGTATACCAGGGTTGACTGAATTGACTGAATGAATTCTGATTTCAAGCTGAGTAGTAGTTTATCTATGAGCTGCATGAGCTGAGCCTTATGATTGAGAAATGGTGGAAACCTCGATGTGGGTATCTAGATTCTAGACTACTGTACTCATGTCAAGTGTGCGAAATATATTCTCAGAAATCCAACTCGGAGAAGAATTTATGGAGTTACTGATATCACACTATTCATAAAACTTCGTCTAGGACGAAAACTATAGGCTGATAAAAATTAATACATAAAATGTGCAAGAAAATAAAGAATAGTATAAACTTCACCCCCATGTAATACATATGATTTTTCCGTCTCTTTTAAATGAAAAGTCATTTTCGAATAATTAATTCAAGGAAGTAGGTATACGCTAAGTATACGCAGTATAACTTATAGGCACGTTATTTTCACTCTTACATCCTACATATTTTCTA